TTTTTTTTTTGCCATTCATTTTCAAAGCCCATAAATTTGCATTTCCCAAGTGTGGTGAATTTCATCATGTCAAGCTATGAAGTTAATTTAATTTCTTTTAGAAATGACTAATGAAAAGTATTACTATGGGACCTCTCTGCTGATCATTTAATTTTGTGGGATAGGATTATGCTGGAACTTTGGCATAAGCCCTAAACCCAGTCCCTCATATGGCTCCTTTACACTGACCTACCCAGATAAAACCCAGGAGAGGGGAATTGATGGTCACTCAAGGCACTATCCATCTCTTGCCAATCAATATGGCCCCAGCAGTGGCAGCCTTCCTATTTGCGACATGGGTGAGAAGTCATTTCATCATGAACAGGTGATGAAATTATGTAGGAAACAGAAACCTAGTTGAAGACAGTAACTCAACTCAGTACTCCTAACTTCAAGAAATACATTCCAAACACCATACTTTACCATTATTTTTTTTTGGCCTTACAATTAACATATCCTTTTAATCTACTACCTCCATTATTAACCAGCTCAGACAAGGCAAATTTCTTTTTAAACCAGACTGTAGTTTGTGAGTGGTGAAACTAATGAACATTCTGACCCTGTAATAGTTTTACTAACTCTTGTTTGAATGGATACATATTCAGACTATCTGTTATGGAGCCCATTTGCAACCAGGTAGTGACTGAAAAAGACTTCTGGGCCACAGAGCAGTTTCGAGGGCATCTTTATATGCGCTGACCCATTTTACCATGGCCACTTAGATTCTGTGGCGAAAAAGTGGTAGAGTGCCTGCTTAGCAAGCACAGTGCTCTGAGTTCAAACCTCAGTACCACCCTCCCCCCACCCCCAAAATTCAGATTTTGCTAGCAGTTGGTTTAGCAAAAGATTTAAAATTTAACCTTCTGCTGTTTTTGGTATGCAGAACAGTCCTTTGATATACAGGTGTTCCCCATTTAATTTTCCTTTCTAATTTAAAAGAGTACAAATAGCAAAACTGCCAATTTTTTTTAAAATTAAAATTGTAAATTTTGGAATTGAATGGGATTTTTCAGGTTCAAAACTCAGAATAACATCTCTTCATTGCAGTTCTAATCTGATACCTGGCCAAATTCTTTTTTGTTTAGTTTTACTGTTTATGCATTAATAATTCCTATTTATGACTGCGGTAGAACAAGACAGTCAATATGTTTTGGCTGAATGAGGGAGAGCGGCTGCTATTAGGTGACTGGAATCATTCAGCTATTAGCTTTATCCTCACAACCTCCCCAGGGCAGGAAATAATATTCCTTTCAACAAATTTGTCTTAGGTTTTTTTTTCCCCTAGTGGAAGGGAAAGTATAGATTTAAGACAAAGAGCATAACAAATTCTGTAAAAAAAATAATTGAGCACTCAATCTTTGATTAGCCTGTCAAAAAGATAAAGGATCTTTGCCAACTAATTTTAATAAATGCTACACTGGCTCATTTTCTGATTATAAATTATAATCTATACTGCTGTCAGAAAGCAATGACTTCTAGGCAGTATGGGCTATTTCTTAAAGCCAGTTATGGAATCTAAAGTAATAGATCCAGGCCTGCATCAGGCCTGGGCAATAAAAGAAGCCACGGTGCAGAGCAAGAATCTTTACTAAATGGATTCCTTTCCGCTCGAAGAGTTGATAAATAAGTAATTGTTGGTTCGCTCTCACTGAACACTAATCTTAATCAGTTTTATGTCTACCAGATGGCACTAAAAATGATGAAAGATAATAAAAACTAAACACTGAATGTGCAATACCTTCGAGCAAGGGCTGGTAAAAGCTTAATTGCTTCTTGGTAGAGCAGGAAGAAAGGGAGAATAAGATGATGACAAATGTCATCTCGAAGAGGGAACTTGCTTTCAGTGCTTTGTTTTGAAAATGCTTTTATAATTAGTTAATCATAAGGTTTATGTCTGGGTAAACTTGTGAACTGTACAAACTGGTATTTTTTAGATGATACACTAAAGGCCACTGGGAAATATCCATTTGTCTGAAGAATACAGAGAGAACAATATGTAGCTTCCAACATATTCATTGGTCTCTCTAAAGTCCAATGGAGGACGGCTGTGACAGCTGTGTACAGGCAGGCTCCTACGTATTGGATTAAATGAGGCTGTGTTTATAAAGCACTTAGCTTTGTGTCTGGAATAGAAGTGATGGCTGTTAATTACTGTATTGCACCCTGTGGGATGATCAGAGGAGTGGGTGCCAAGGTACTATGATGCAGAGAATCTGCAAAAGACCCCTGAAATTCAAGGCTGATTCTTGGGGCTTTATGTTCTGCTAAATGCAAACACTCCTTAGCATCCATTTATGCTCTGGTGTGAGTGAGATTATTGGCTCTTTTCAGAAGAGCAGTGGCAAGAGTAGAAAAAAGGAGCCAGGACAAAGCTCTTGGCAGCTGTAAGGCTGAAGGCAGTGATGACCAAATGAGTGACTAGGGCCAGTCCTGGTCCCACGTGGGCACCAGTTGCCAAGCGGTATGCCGTTCAGTGCCTGTGACTATCTGGAACGTGAAAACCCTGCTTCTCAAGAGCAGGAAGGGAAGAGGTGCTTTAAGGATCCAACAACCACAGCATCAGGGTAATTAACCTTCTCCGCAGTGGTGGTGTAGCAGCCATGGCTTCCAGACACTTCCTGGTTAGGTGAAGTCTGGCCCAGGAAAGGCTCCGACAAAAACACAGTTAGCGCCAGGGAGAAATCTTCTAACTTCACAGAAGTTCCCAATGTGCTTCTCTGGGAATGTTCTTCATGTTTCTCACATTTTGAGCTAAGAATCCACCTGTGCTGCACATAGGCCCAAGAATCTCTCTTGACTTTCCAGTAAGTTCTACAGGTTTTCCCTTTCCTACCACAGACATTTAAAAAGTACACATTAAAGGTGAGTAGGAATTTTTTAATGGGGGGAAGGGAAGGATTTATACATAAATGAAACAACAGGTCCTTTTTTGGAGGACAGTTACCACAAAGCTAAATATTACTGAGAATTAACATTATCTGTATCTCTTGCTAGAAGTGGAAGTCTCACCATTCAAAAGCCCCACTCCTAGAAAATCACTGTGAAGAGGTTGAGCTGTCCCTGGTCCTGTTCCAATAGCATGCCAACAGCGACAGCTAACTGGCCCTTTAAAGCATGAGGGGAAGGCTGGCCTTGAGGAGATGGTACACTAGGTGGGTTAACCAGGAGACAGCATGGCTGATCCCCACCATCTCTGGAGGACTAACAGGGTCATGCAAGCACCTGCAGAATGAGGGGGACAGGATATGAAAGGAGGGTCCTGGGCCCTGAAGACAAAGTGGAGAAATGGGGTCAGGGAGGAATACCAAAGTTTTCTTTTTTCTTAAATCTCCTCCATTTGCCAGTTTGATATGTATCCAAGCACACAAGAGGTTGTGATTTTAATGTTAATGTTGATCTTAAGGTTTAAAAATAGTATCTACACTCAACAATGTTTATCACAGAACCTATTCCATTTTTTCATCTTTGCCAGTGCAGGAATAAATAAAGCATTCTTTTCAGAGCAACTATATTGCACTGTATTACATTTTTATGCAGGATTTTAAGGCACGTAAATATATTATTTCATGCAGAAAAAGAAATAAATTTAAGAGTATGCTGAAATGATAAAGATGGTGAAGGAAGAGGAATGTAAGGAAAGCAGGTGAACATAAAAGGATTATCAGAAGAAAAAAATGACCCTTAAAACAAAAAGCTGGCTTCAGCATATTGACATGATTGATACGATACTAAATTATCAAGTCAGCTCACCATTGGTTTTCGTATGGATTTGGGAGAATTTAAAATAAGAAAGCAATGTGCCAAAGTGCATAGAGCTTTCTTTATGCCCATCTTACCTAGGAATGCAGCCATGTTCATGACTTGACTAAACACACAGCTTGCAGGAGGATCATCACCTGCAATACTTGAAAACAATGAAATGTTTTATAAATTCTGTATGAAAATCTATAACTCTCCCACTTTTCCTAAGATCCAGCCAATCAGGCGTGAGTTACTGAGTTACCTTATGTATGGAGCATGCTTCACCCCGGGCTTCCTGGATAACAGAAGAGAGAGGCTCTGGTTAAAGCAGCTCAACCTCACCAGTGGCAAAGGGTTTGCTAAGTCTATGGGTGACCAATGGATTCCCCAGAGATAAACTTTACCTTTCAGCTGAATTTAATGGCAGAATTTTGTCATCTTCCACAGCTATAAAGTACCTATCAAGAAAGAATGACAAGCTTATAAAACAAAGCAATTGAAAACAAAAAACTCAATAATTATTTGTTTCCCAGTTTAATTAGATTAGGTATACTAAATCATATTCTTTTCTAAGATGCTCTTTAACTACAATTCTTTGCCTAGAAGAACTAGGCCAGCTAGTTCTTTGAAGCTCAATTTTTTTAAAAAATTGATTTTCTTTAACTTTCAAAACACCCCCAAATTAATGGTGATGATTATAATCTGGAAACTGGAAAACAAAGAAATAAGCAAAACAGCTCTGAACAAACTAAAATTAGAATTCAGAGTTTTAATTTTTCAGGAACATGTGTCCACCATTCTCGAACTTCAAGGAGCTAAAATAATTTTCTTCAGGTGACTATGACTTGAAATAAGCAAGTGTGGGACCATTTTTGTGGTGAGCCAGGATTTCCAATGTACTGGTACTCATTTTATAAACATAACAGACCTCCTCACCGATAACTGGACTGTGAATGTAATCCACAGCAGATAGGTGTTAAATGAGAAAGTCTTGCAAATAGTGAATTCATATAACCAGTTTATGAAATGTTCATTGCACAAAAACATGAACTACAAAATAAAATCAGAATTCTTCATTACCAGCTTTGCACAATTTATTACTCAGCCTTGCTATTTAATTTGAGTAATAAAAGATGGAAAGAATGAGGACTTTGGCAAGGTTGAATTAGTAAATATATTATTTAAAACTACTTACGAATACATTCAAACAGATATGCCATCACAATTATTTTTTAATTTACTTCGCACCTGAATCTTTAAATTATTCATTAAGGGCATACTTACACGATCCATAATCCAGCTGAGGTAAACAAAGTAAATACAACAGGTAGAAACATCCATACACTGCATTTCTTCCCATCCATGCCTGTACCACTGAAATAAAATGAATGCTTGATTAATTAATTAATAAGGCAAAAAAGTCACCTAACTCTCTCAAGATGGAAAGGAAGTACAATTGGAAAAATGTGTTTTATGAAATCATGATTCAAATCTGTCATTTTTGCCATCTATTCAAATGAGAAATCCCTGGACCAGTTTCATAGGTGGTTGTTGTCTAGCACTAGATTAAATATTTCAGAGTCTTAACTTTGTGTGACCTGATGGAAAGTTTTCTCATAAAAGTGTTTATCCTGTATATGTTTGATATATTTAAGAAAAGACAAAGGGCTTTGGGTTAGCACTGTCAGGAAAAGAACAAGATACCAAGGCATCTTCCAACTTCCTTTCAGTGTTATTAACATTCATGCACTATGGGCATGGAGTGTACATAAGTCTACAGCATGGCAGACTGGAGTTTTAGAAACAAATGATTACTAAATAAACTAGCAACATGGGGAAATGAGAAAGGCTTTGCAAATATGAACTGTTCTCAGGACATGTTATTGAGCAGCTCTCTCAGTAGACTGTAAAGATGAATGTTCTGGAAAACAATGCATTAAATTAGCTCCAATAAACACACTGGAAAAAATAAAGATGTCAGGCACTCTTGGAAATTATATTTTTTATCGCAAAAATATATGAACAAAAATTCCTCCCCCTCAACGAAATGAAAACTAGAAGCTTCAGAATTGTCTATGAAAATTTATTGGTATCAAGCATAAAGAAATAACTGGTTAGCACTTTATATCTTATCTTTGCCTAAAACCATCAGACAAAATCTGTTAGAGATATTGAGTACTAACGTAATCATTAAGACAAAAAGCCCAGTTCTAAGAAGAGAAAATACACCAGTGACCTCCACTGGTGACCTGACAAACAAAATGATAATGTGATCAAATTTTTTTTAATTAGAAAAGACAATTTTGTTTTTTTGCAGTTCTGGGGATGGAACCCAGGGCCTTGTACATGCTAGGCAAGCGCTCTACCACTGAGCGACATCCCCAGCCTTTAAATGCTATTTCTAGGGAGATCTTTAGGGAGATCATTATTTAAAATTTACAACTAATTGTGATGAGTTCATTTATTGGATTTGAGCATGCTTTTCAGAGTACCCCCATTATATCTGCTTTCACATGCTGAGCCTCTCTGCACCTCCCAAGTGTTGACACCAGACAGAACATGATGCTCCCTTGAGGCTGGCAAACCAGTCCTTTCTGCAAGCGTCAGGATGTCTGGGTTCCTAGAATGATGTGCCAATTAAGGTGCTCTTTCTGACCAGGAGACAGACACCTGACCTGCTAACATGTGTTTAACAGTCATGCCTCAGTCTAAACACATATCTGGGCAGTAGTGTTAAATTACAGAATCTAGAAGTTGAAAGACATTAGAGAGGCACTTTCAATCAAATTAATCTAATCTAATCCAATCAAATTCACAATTATTGATACTCCACTTATGCCAGGTGGTACAACTGCTGAGTTGAGATCTAATAAATACAATTACGTATATGTACCAGTCTATGCAATATGTACAATCATCCCTCCTTACCTGAGAGGGTGTATCACAAGACTCCCTTAGAGTTTGCCTGAAACCATGGATAGCACTGACCCCATATATACTGTTTTTCCCCATATATACATGCATTTGCACTTAAAAGAAGCTCTTTACAGCTTCTTTTTTGGCATATATGAGTTGCCAGCATCACTATTCTCACTCTTTAGGTTAAGACTTGAAGACAAGCACTGTGATACCACAAGAGTTGATCAGCTAACTGAGATTGCTTCTAAGTGACTAATGGGAAGGCAGTATATACTATGTGGATACACTGTGCAAGGGTGATTCAAGTCCTGGGTAGGATGGAGCAGGATAGCGCAAGATTTTATCACACTACTCAGAACAGCATGCAATTCCAAGACTTAACAAAATGCTTATTTCTGGAACTTTCCATTTAATACTTTTGGATCATGGTTGATTATGGATAACAGAAACCATGGAAAATAAAACTGCAGATTAGGGGGACTAATATAAAAGGTACTGTATGAATTAGTGGTCCATGTCTTTCCAATTTGTATAATGTGGAAGAAAGGGGAACATTTTAAGTATACACCTGAAATGATCAGTCGGTATCAATTAATCTATGTCCAAAAAGTTGTGTGTTCATAATAAAGCTACTAGTTACATTAACAAAAATAATAACACCGATAGCCAAAATGTAGACATACAGAAAATAGGAGTGGTGAGTGAATAGGTAAAGCAGTCATTCTGGACCTGCCACTGAACAGGGTGCTCTGATAGAATAAGTTCTGCCGAGATAGTTATGTTGGAAAAAGTCTTACGAACTTGACGTCCCAACCTCAGCTTTGCAGAAACTGACTCCACAGGCCTGGCTCAGTTATTGAAATCGGAAACACTTTCTCCCTATCTCACTACAGGAAGATTGTTGAATTTGAAGAAAGGGAGAAAGATGTCAAAGACTGAGGCCTCCCAAGGTGGTAGTACCATGAAGGCTAACCCAAGTCCAGTACTTAAGATCTCTACAGTGACAGCGTGCTCCAATACACTCACAATTATCATTCCCAGAGGAGATGGTAACCCTTTCTGCATTAGTTTGCTGACAGTCACAATGCCAACCTACAAATATACAACAAGAAAGAGAACCGTCAAATGAACAACACTCACACTGGCTCCCATTTTAGGAACATCTATGTGGGAAGTCAGCATTTGCAAGCAGGAATATAGATGAAGTGTTAAAGAGACATCTCTACAAGCACGGAGACATGCTTATAACAGCTTTCTGCACTGATTTTCTGTAAAGGGAGGCAGTCTCACGGGACAGCAAGGCATAGGACCAAAAACCAGCTCAGCCACTCACTAGCGGGCTCCTTGGCAGATTATCCCATCACCTAAGCCTTAGTCTGACCATAGAGATAACTCGAATTTTTATAGGATTGTGGTGATTATGGCACAGATAAGCAACTCACAAAAAATCCATGTTCTATAAGTGCTGCACTGTAACTGCTGAGAGATGCTTGTGTTAGGACTGGTCCCCACTCTGCAGTGTCTCAGGACAACTGAGCACTCTCTTCTCTGGGCTTCCACTTTTCTAAAGGTACACAGGCCCTTACTTTCAGTTATAATTTTTTTTTCTTCAAATGGTTTTCCAAAAATTTATATTTTATCATCTTAATATTGAAGGTCTGCTTCCCTGACATTCTATGTTTTGGTACCTTTCAGTATGCACTCTCATTTGTTTTGGAAACATCTGAAGTGGCCAGTGGCCACTGTAGTTGGACCATTGACTGTGGTGGGTAAGTAAAACCATGGAAAGCAAGACTTCAGATAAGAGGGGGACTAATATGAAACATACTGTATGAACTAGTGGTCCATGGATAAATTGCTTTACTGTTAGTAATTTAACTCTCATAGAGCAACCTTACATTTAAATTCTGAGAAAACCATCTGTATCCCTTGCCTGATGATAAATGAAAATTGCCCTTTGTTAACTCTAAGGGATGCCTTGGGAGACGAAAAGGGTAAGTCTATGAATGGTTACCTTATTAGCTTGCAATGAACTACTTTGGTGCTTCTTAAGAATTTTTTACCTTGGCTATGTCCCACCCTGCTTTTTGAGCTAATTGCAAATTCACATGGAGTTGTAAGAAATAATACAATGAGCTCTTGTATGTCCTTCTCTCAGTCTCTCCAGGGGCAATTTCCTGCATACCAAAGTATAACATCACTAACAAGAAACTGGCTTTGATGCAATCCTTCACCTTTATTTGGATTTCACTGGTTTTGTATATACTCCTTTCACTGTGTATTTAGTTTTACGTAATTTTGCCACCTGCATAGGTTTGTGTGACTGTGTGATTATTTCCCATTTATATATTTGCTTTGAAGAAATTTTAATTTAAATCTTTTGCACATTTTAAAGTTGAGTTGTTTGGGTTTTTGTTGTTAAGTTTTAGTTCTTTATATATTCTGGATATTAATCCTTCATAAAATATATGATTTACAAAATTTTCTTCCATTATATATGCAAGTTGTCGTTTCACTCTATTGATAGTGTCCTTTGGTGCACAAAAGTTTTTGATTTTGATGAAGTACAATTCATCTAATTTTTGGTCTCTGATCCAAGAAAACACTGCCAAGTCCCATGTCATGAGGCTTTCCCTCTGTGCTTCCATCTAAGGGCTTTTAGTTCTAGTTCTCATTTCGGGCTTTGGTTCATTTTAGTTAAACTTTGTATACAGTGTAAGGTAGCCTCATTCTTTTAAATGTCATGATTCCAAACCATTTAATTAAAAGACTGTCTTTCCCCACTGAATGGTATTGGCACTTTACAAGGTCTCTTGCAGAACAAAAGTTTTTACTTTTGATAAAGCCTAACTTGCCAAAATTTCCTTGTATGGGTCATGCTTTTGATGTCAAGCCTAAGAACTCTGTCTCACCTTTGATCTCAAAGATTTTCTCCCATGTTCTTTTTTTCTGAAAGATTTGTAGTTTTACTTTTTTTTTTTTTTGGCTAGGCAGCTGCTCTACCACTTGAGCCATGTTTCCACCCTCCCCTTTTTTGCTTTAGGCAGGGGTCTCCCATGTTTACCTGGGTTGGTTTCAGATTGTGATCCTCCTACCTATGCCTCTCACACAGCTGGAATTACAAGTGTGCACCATATGCCTGGCTATGGTTTTACATTAAAACCTTTGATTTGGTTAAGTCTCAATTGTCTTATTGAATTGGGTTAGATCCTAGACTATGCATAAATTACTTTTGCAAGAATCAGGAAACATGTGACAATTTAAGTCAGACTTCTGTAGAACCAGAGAAAGATTCTTATGCTGAAGGACATAAACCATAGTCATAAAACATCTTACCACTCCAGGCTGTTCTAGGAACTGACAGGTATGAGCTTAAGATCAGAGGGCTGTGTGTGTGTGTATGTGTGTGTGTGTGTGTGTGTGTGTGTGTGTGTGTGT